CTCCCGACCTTCCTCTGGCTGCCCGTGGTGGGGTCGGGGGCACACCTCCCGCTGGGGCACTGGCTGAGACAGTGGCAGGGCAGCCCTGACCCAGAGCCGGGGGCTGCACCCCACGGAACCCAGGTACTCCCCAGCCACCCCTGCTCTCCCCAGGCACCCCCATTCCCTCGCACCCCAGGAGCTCTTCCTGGACACAAGCTTGTCTGGCTGCGGCCGAGGCTCGGGGCTCAGCTCTCACCCCTCATCCTCTGTCTGCCACAGCTTTCCTCCTCTCCAGTCTCCCGGCGGGGAGGGTCCATGTGCCACCCCCGAACAGGTCAGCCCAGAGACCCTGATCGTTGGACTGGATGTGCTAGGTCCCCTCAACAGGGGACACCCCAGGCATCCCAGATACCTGCCTGGGAATGAGGAGTCCACCTCTCCCGGATCTGATCCCCAATCTCCAACCACCCCTCGTGCACACCCGTCAAGATCAAGTTCACTGACTACTGACTTCTCCATCACCCATGCACTCATTATCCACTGTTGGCTTCCTGTAAGTCTTCCCATCCTTTCTCTCCATGCCTGCGTATGCATGATATCCCCCACCCACCCATCTAGCCACCCTCGTGCATCCACCCCCATGTATGTCACAAACACGCATTTTCACGCCCCGACCGACTCCTCAGCTGTCCACACATCTGCCTGTGTCTCACCCATCCGTGCACAGGCTCATCCAGCCGTGTTACAAATACTTAGTGAGCACTGCACACCGGGCCTCATCCTAGGCCCCGGGAGGAGTAGAGCGAGTAAAGGCAGACGCATGACAACCAGGCAAAGGCACCTGGGAGGGCTTCCTACAGACAGAGGGGTGGGGACAGCAGAGACACCGCCCATTCGACAAAGCAGGTGTGCAGGATAAGGCCTGGTTGGGGTGAAGTTTGCAAAGCAAGGAGAGGTAGGGGTGCTAGGGCTGGCCACACAGGGGCATACCAGCCTTCCTGCCCTCGGCGCTCTCCCACAGGGCTCAGGAGGCTGACTGTCTTGTCAAGCAACAGCTCCGGGTGCAACCCGGTGTGGGGAGCTGGGGCGGACTGCAGAACCCCCAGCCATCCTGCTGCCCATGCCAACGTGGCTGCCTTCACGCCTGCACCCTCACCCTGGTCCCGAGGTGCTGCAGCCTCTGTTTCCAGGGCCTGACCCCTCCTGCCCCAGGCCCAGCGGCCCTTCCTGCCCCCACCCTGCTCTCACCCTGGCCCTCTCGTGGACTGCAGAGGCCGGGCCTGAGCTGCTGCTGGGTCCTGCAGGGTGTTAGAGCCGCAGGACCAGAGCCGAGACCACAGACCACAGAGTGAGAGGGAGGTGCTGGTTCCTCCAGCAGCGGCCACACTGGGCTGACACCTCCAGCTTCCAACGGCGCTCACGGTGAGCTCGGCCATGGTGAGGAATTCCTGCTTCTGCAAGCTTTGCTGGACAGTTCCCGCGGGGGGCCCAGCCCTGCCCCAACAGCCCCGAGGATGGGAAGGCCTATGTCTGGCCGCAGCCCAGACACCCCAAATCCCAGCCACTGCGGAGGCTTCCATCACCCAGCAGCCCCACCCCTCCACCAAGCTGACCCCAGGCCTCCTGAAACAACCATTAATCATCATAACACAGTCACCCGTTTATGCTTAGAGACTTTACAAATTATTTATTTGGGGCCGGCACCGTGGCTCACTTGGTTAATCCTCCGCCTGTGGCTCTGGCATCCCATATGGGCGCCGGGTTCTAGTCCTGGTTGGGGCACCGGTTCTGTCCGGGTTGCTCCTCTTCCAGTCCAGCTCTCTGCTGTGGCCAGGAGTACAGTGGAGGATGGCCCAGGTGCTTGGGCCCCCGTAC